TCTTAAGAGGTTAAAAAAATTACCAAAAAATAAATAAATAAAAGATAAATAAAAATAATAAGGAAAAAAGAACCTACTGTGGTAATATAACCCAGAATGTGATGCCCATGCATGTGGACGTCTAAAGAGGTTAAAAAACAAAGAAAATAAATAAAAATGGAGCCACTTGAGGACAGGAGAGCTCAGTCATGTGACCAGGCTGAACTTTAAGCAGTAAAACATGTGCAGCCCGTAAAGCCGCCATGTTTATTCCTGTATTGCTAACATCCGGGAAAACTTCCAGGTTCTGCAGTTCTTTTTTGCAACAGAAATACAGACATTCTAATTAGTTTTTAAGCCGCTCTAACGTTGTCGTACTAAACAGAAGATATACCTGCTGAGCATGACTTCAGATTCCAGTAAAATGAGCCCACAGTGAGCCCTTAGCGACCCGCGTTTCATCTGACAGCGAGCCGGTTGCCACCCGACGCCTCCGGTTGCCGCAACTCGTCCAGTCGGATGCTTCGGCCGACGTAAACAGACAAAGTGATCAGCGAGCAGCAGCTGACGAACAAACCAGACAAGAGGGCGACTTGCTGGAAAGTAAGAAGCCTCTGCTGCAGGAGGAAAACCTCTCAGCGTTCACTGTCGACGCTCGACTCTCGTCTGGGAAAACCAGGATTACTGTCCACAGAACAGAGCGACTGGCGGCCTCCTGACTGACCACGAGGAGGATGACGGGCAGCAGCACTCGCTCACACGTTGTCAGACGCTCAGCCGCCAAAACACGAAACGTTGAAGCTCAAAGGTCGACACTACGAGCTGGACGGTACCGCTGATGTCTCAGACGGACACTGAAAAGGACTCACCAAATTATTAGATTCACTGCTTCAGGTCTCATTCAAACAATTTAACCAACAAAGATTTGACAGTTAAGTCAAACGACGGTGATCTATCCGGTGACACTGAGCCACACTGAGTACTTTCAAACAGGGAACGTATCCACATGTACAGACTAAAGCCCTCCAACGCTGTCTGTTGTAAGTTTAAATATGACACTTAAACCCCAACAATATGATTATTTTAAATGTCCCGGTTAGGACCCGACAATATTATTTATTATGTCACCTGATAAGTGTGGATATTAAGGTAAGACCACATAATGTGACTGGAATATTATGACTAATTCTCCTACAAATAGAAAAATAAGACCTCACAGCATCATTCATTATGCACATTTATCCAATCACGTTAAATACGGAGGTAACGATCCCACAATATTCATGATTAAAAAAGCTCAGCTATGAAGTTAAACCCGACAATATTATTAATTAAACACATTTACTCAAACATTAAAATAGTATTTATTAAAAAATGTACTCACGTTTAAATATTAAAATTAAAACATTAATATTTATTATGCAAATTTAAAAATAAATTTAAAAATAAAAATAAAACATTGCAATAATATTTATTATAAAAATTTACTCAATAAGTTTAAATATTAAAATTAAAATATTAAAATATAATTAATTAAACACATTTTTCTGGATACATTTAAATATTAAAATTAAAACATCATAATTTTATTAACTAAAAATTACTCAACAAGTTTAAGTATTAAAATGAAAACCTTACAATATTATTTATTATGCAAATGTTCTGAATAAATTTAAATATGGAAATTACAACCTCACAATATTATTCATTAAACAAATTTAATCAACAAGTTTAAAGAAAAAAAAATTAAAACATTACAATTATTATTTTTTATTATACAAATTTAATCAACAAGTTTAAATAATAAAATTAAAACCCTACAATATTATTTCGTAAACAAACTTAATAGACTTGTGAGCAGAATAATTAGATCTAAATCATGAGCTGCAGGATTCGTGTCCACAGAGCTCGACTACGACGGACAGATTTGGTTCAAACCAGGCGAAGCTAACAAAGCCTTATTTACGTACGTTCAGAGACACCGGCTGAGTTTTACAGAAACCTGAACCCTCTTGACTCCACTCGAGCGCCGCCTGAAGCCTGAGGTTCCTCAGAGCCGGCTGGTGAGGCGGACCTCCGGCGGGTGTAAACGAAGGCGCTAACATGTCAGGCGATAGCGGCGACTCGGAGGCAGATTAGCGGTGCAGGAAACAAAAGTGAAGCGATATAAATAGACGTGTGGAGAGGCCGCTATCTGCGCCGAGGCCAGCCAGTAAACAACATGTGAAAAGTGGCAGACGCACAAACAGGCGGCGCAAATCCTCCCTTTAGCGCCACCTTCAGGACGAACTGTGCACATCCAACAGCCGCATCAACGCCCCGACATCGCTGTTAACAAAGGAATCCACTACGGCAGCCAGCAGGGGGCGCCGCTGTGGATTTTAATCTGGTTAAAAATAGAAAAGAACTTGGCACAGGTGACGTACAAGTGGTGAGATTTTGTTTTCACAAAAGCACGGTAACCTTGTCACGGTGACTTTGATGTGAGGATCAGATGACCGGAGGGATTAGAGCGGGATGCTGCAGCTGCACCGAGAAGATCTTTTGTTTTAGCGACTTCCTGAACTCAGGAGGCGAACACCACCAGGCCACCAGGAGACAATAAAACACCACCAGGAGACAATAAAACACCACCAGGCCACCAGGAGACAATACAGAACTGAAGGTGAAGCTAGGAAATGCAACAATGACGACTTAAACGACTCAGATAACTGGCTGTGTCCATCACCTCATCACCAGTTCTACTACTACACTGGGTCACTTTGCGGTCTTGACGTTTGTGCCGCCGCCTTTCCTCCTGGATTCCAGCCGAACGCACCGCCAGACGCGAGCTGGCGCCTCCGTTATCATCATCAGTGATACATGAAGGTCACCGGGAAGCTGCTGCTGCTGCTGCATGTGTGATTGACAGCACAGAGCAGGACGGCCGACACGAAGCCGAATGAGCCACGACTTCCTGCTGCTGCTAACTTCAGATCATTTCACATGAAAATATCCCTAAATTCACTCGTCGTGTTTAAGCCTGACGGTCACATCTGACAGCAGTAAACACACCCTCAACGCCTCCCAGTCTGACGTTTGACAACTTTTCCACTTTTGTGCAGGTGCTGTACATGTTGGTCCACTGGGATGACATTTAGATCCACCAGCGGGGGTCAAATCAGGGACTCTAAGCTACTTTATACTCATTCTGTTGTCCGACGGCAGAAACTGAACGTTATGAGAGTTTGTATTAAACTTTCATGTTAAAGTTTCCACCCTCTCTGAACATGTCTCAGCTCTACAGTTTCTACAAAGCTCTGACCTGCAGTCATACGATGGAAGCTGATGCTACGTTAGCCACATGGCGCGCTAATGTTAAGGGCATTAAAATGAAAGTTCCTCAGATGCTAGCAGTGCATGAGGACTCTTGTGTTCCCTCCAGCAGCAGAACATTCGGAGAGTTTTGCTCGCGGCTCAGACATTTCAGCAGAAGCAGTTCTAGAAGGTAAATAAAGCTCATTGTGATTGGTTCACCCAGAGGGGGCGGGGCTGGATGACTATTGGTTAGCGAGCAGCTCAGGACACCTGTGAAGCCGGGCCAGTTGTGGAGGTGCTTGACGTGAAACATGTCTTTAACTATCTTTCCTCACCATCTTCTTTCTTTCCAGCCGTTTGTCTCCACAGAAGACAAGAAGCTGCTGCTGTCTGACCAGGACTGAACCAAACCCGACCTGAGCTCCGGTCAGTCGACCAGCAGCCCTCCGACTCCCAGGTTCCACCTCCAGCTCTGGTCAGCAGCGTCCGGCCCAGCAGCCGTCCTCAGCTCTCTCAGCTCTTCACCCCGCCGGTCAAAATCTAAGCCGTCAGCAGCCTCCATGGAGCGCGTCCAGCACATGACCAAGTCGGCCATCCGCCGAGCGTCTCAGATCGAGGTGAACCCTCAGGCCAAGAGGAACCTGCAGGAGCTCTTTGTCAACTTCACCCTCATCCTCATCTGCCTGCTGCTCATCTACATCATCGTCCTGCTGAGCAGCTGAGCAGCAGAGCCTCCTGCAGGGAGAGTTTGGCCCGGCCCAGGGTTGTACTGATACATGCGGATCGGCTTTTCAAAGAAAGCAGTAACATCATCCCCGTGTATCAGCAGAACCCCGTTTGCCAACTGCTATGAGGAAAAGTGGAGGAGTTGGCGGCCAAACTCTCTCTCAGAGCTCCAGGGTGATGTTTCTACGAGGGCTGATCGGGGATCAGCTTCCCAGCCTCTGTCTCTCAAGGGAATGATCAAAAGTGACCCGACTCCACCCGTTTAAACTTCTGTATGTGCGTCCGCCTGCTGCTCGTCCAGACTAACACCCTGCCTACGACCATGTGCTCCGTATTGGAATATCTCCTGCATTATAGTCACTGCAACGTGTCTCATACTCAAATATTAATACATCACTGTTGTTTAACTTTCATTTCCCATGAGCCCAGGCGCTTCCTGCCGCCACCCCCCCTCCACCAGCACAAAGATAAACACGCTGAAAATGATTTTGTTCCACGAGTATTTTTGCTTCTTTCTTGGTCTACCGCTGCCAGAAACCACAGATGAACCCCTGATGGTTTGAGCTTCAGGTTTCTTGATGTGCTGCTATCTCGGTGGTTACCAGAATTTAAATTTAGCAAAAAAAAAAGGAACCAGCAACAAGAAAGCAGCAAACACTGTGGCCGAGTGTGAGAACAAACCCGGCTCATTAAGAAAACATGCCCCCAAACACACCGATTCTGCCTCCGACTGTCTCTAAATTAGAACCGAGTCGCCAACAGCTGAAGCAGGAGGACAGATGGATGTCTGAAAAAAATAGAAACTGGTGGCCAAACACGTCCACTGTAGGTTTGTTACGTTACCTGTGATTACAGAATTATATATTACTGAGCATGTGTTTGGAAAAAAAGCTTTACAAGGAAGAAATTTGTACTTTATTTCAAAGCTATGATTCTGTCGCCCCCCAGTGGCGACATCACAAACGACACCATGGAGGATTATTAATAATGTAGAACATGACACAAAACACTACTATTTGCACACCATTTTAAAACTATTTCATGGAACAGACATTTGGAAACGTCTAATTGGACTCATGTGCTTCACTGCTTCAGCTAATTACTGCCAAATCAGCGGATGGCAGCTTAGACACAGATGTGGAGCGTGTGGGCCGCTTCATCAGCGCTTTATTTATTCTTCTCTAACGTGACACTTAACGTCGTTACTACTGTAGGCCTTTATAAAGTATGTGAAGTGTAGCCTGAGTGCGGCTCACCTGCACGTGTTTCAGCCTTAGAATAAACTACGGAAGATTTCGTTGCTTTGCTTTGTCCTTCAGAGATCGATGTGTTGAGCGTTAAACACACAGAAACGGTTCGTGCATGGTGTGATTTCACATAAGGGTCATTTCTGTGTAAAACATTTAAGCTATGTGTCTGTTTTGTTATTATAAAGCATAAAACATTGTTGTTTTCTCTCAGTCTAGACTGAAAAAGTACCAGTGAGACAATTAAATCTTGTTTTTAGTCCAAAAAAACCCCCAAATGCGTCACCGTAAATGACATCACTGCTGTCAACAAGACTTTTTTTTGTTTTTTTTTACATCCTGTCCCCAATAATATCCTGTGATGCACATGTTAATGCACTGCCCTGTATTTACCATGAGTGAAAATGTGAAAATGACACAAGACGGATTGCAGAAAAGAAGCGTTTTAAGTTTGTTGTACTTGTGTATGTGTTTGAAAAGCTGTACCACCTGATTTCTAAACTGTGGAACACCAAATAAACTGCATGTCAATACCTTTAAAGTGGCGCCACCTGGTGTAGGTGTGGAGAAATGACTTCCATCGTCGCACTCTTGTCCTCTTCCTGCATTCTAGTTTACAATTAGGGGGAAACACAGATTTGGATGTTTCTTAGCTGTAGTTTTAAAGATCGTGGAAATGCTTAGTTAAATTCAGATAACTTTATTTATCCCCTCGGGGCAACTCAAAAGCTCGCTGAGTATTTCATATAAAGACATCCACAAAACAAACACAATAGAAAGTAAAACACAAAATGAAGAAATAGATTCATAAAGCGTGAATTTAGGAGGTTAAAGTTATTAAAGTTGCCACAATACACAACGGATCGGATTATTTTGGTAAACTGTGCATGTCGGCCTCTTTTAGCTCACTGTTCTGGTTGAACAGGTTTTTGGGGGCTAAATACAAAAAACCAAGCAGCAGCTAACTACTGCCGTTAGTAACTAGCTATTTAGGTTAGCAGATAGCTACTGACGTTAGCAACTAGCGACTTAGGATAGCAGATAGCTACTGACGTTAGCAACTAGCTACTTAGGATAGCAGTTAGCTGAACAACTTTCAGCAGCTAATTAATGAGACATGTTTTTTTCAGGAGTTGGAAAGACCAAGAGAAAAACCAAAACAGAGGTAAAAGTAAAGTAAATATTGGATAAATTCACAAAGTGAACATCGACATGCTAACAGGCGCCATGTTTACCGGAAGTGTGAAGTGTGGGTTTTTTTTTTTTTTTTTTACACATTTGCTGTATTTAACACGTTAATTTTTAGTTATTTAATCACTTAAAATCCACTTACCTCAACTCATGTGTTGTAAAAACTCCACACAGGTCCTCTAAACTCTCACCAGCGACCAAAACAACGTCCATTCTTCATCAATCTTAGGTTTAATTTCACTCCGACAGTTTTCGCTTCCCCTTCCTTTGCGGCTGTCACTCAGAAGGTCCCGCCTTCTTGGATCTGATTGGTCGATTTCATGTCACTCCAGTAGCCGTGCGACAACGTGGCCAATCACAGAACCCCCTCGCTTCCCTGTTACCGGGCAACCAGCGGAGGCAAGCTTCTGATAGGTGGAGACACACCGGCGTATGTCTGATTCAGTTTTCCAGCGTAGACAAGCCGCAGAGGAGCTGGCAAGGTTTAATTTAACCGTAAAGGCATACGTTTTTACCATAAATTAACTGATTTTTTAAAATGAAGATTTAAATTTAATATTTTTTAACAATTAGATTTTGAGTTACCTCTTGATCCACTAGCTTGCTAACAGCAGCAGTGACACAGAAACTACCATAAACATGGCATTTATATAAATAAAAAGCACATATTGCAAGTATGTTGTACGGAAGCCTGAAAGTGTCTGAACATGTACACAGCAATCCTTTATGTGAAGCTGGTTTCTCCACATTTTGCAAATAAATGAAGCAACTCCAGTCAGCTGTGACATGTAAAGGCAACACACACGTCTGTAGAAATCTGAGATGAATGTAGGTTTGAGAAACGCATCAAACGTTAAATTCCACACAAACAAATGAGCACGACGTCGGGTTTTATCTCACAATCATAATTTTACTGTTCCATAACATACAACAGAAATGATATAAATATAAATAAATATTGTTATTGGTATAATCGTTATATATTTTTACTTCAAAAATGGCAAGACAGACATCATTAAATGATAAGTCACAAGGGTGACGTCTGCTCACGTCCAGCTCAGTCATTACCAACCGCAGACAATCTCTCCCTCCGGTTGTGGAACACCTGAGCTGAAGGTGAATAACCGAGCCTTGGTCAGTATAGCGTCACATTTAGAAAACAAACAAAAAGCTAAAAAGACAATTAAAGGTTAAAGTTGTTTCTGTGGTTCACTGATGCCCAGTTGATGCCAGCGTTAAAGAACAACCGTCCTCCGTCACGTGTCAACAGATGAAGCCATGCTTGTTTGTGAATGAAGCCGGGGGTCACGATGAGGCCGTGCGATGGCGATGCCTGCCCTTCTGCTTTTCTTGGCTCCGTAAAATTGAACGAATGCATTAAAAAATAAATAACAATAAATAGTTATCAGCAAATACAAAAAAAAACAAAACACAAAAAAACAAACAGTACAGCTCATGACAAAAGCAAATACACATTATAAATATACAAACAAAACAGGAATAAATAAAGAAAAACGATTCCTTTTGTGTGAGTTCTAACTAAACATAACTTAAAGGACCATCCCAGTGTTTTTACGTTCATTCCTTCAACATGAACAACGTCGTCGTTCTAAATCTATCGACTCGAGATATTCGCCAGCAGATCAAATCTGTCATCGACCGTCTGCTGATGGAGTTCACAAG